ATGGTTTGCGCTAGCCCACTCGGCCAGTCGGCCACCGATCCCTCTTATACTTATCCAGTTAAAAAGGGAAAGTGTGGGCGTTGGCGTTCACATGCTCTGAGTTGCGGTGAGCTAGCACGTGGATTGTGGTAGAGTAGCGCCTTGCTTCCCATGAATTTCTACATGACGTCTCCATTCTTGGTGAGCCGATCTAAATTCGCGGTGACGGATAACTTTATAAAGCTTCTTCTTATATTCCGAGATTTCGCTATCCACACACTACCGAAACAAGCGTACATCTTCGTACCGTCACCACATGCGATGCCGGAGCTTCGAGGCATTTAAAAAGTGAAAGCCGTTTACAACTCCCTGTAACGCCGAATTGGAGCGCAGCTCTTGAGGAGGAGGAGTGAAGGGTACTGAGGGGAGGGTAGACCCCTCCTCCTTCTCCTCCTCCTCCCCTCATTCTTTAATATGCTCCGGGGGGGGGGGGTCACGTGACCTCGGGGGGGGGGGTGTCACGGGACTTCGGGGAGGGGGTCACGTGACCTCGGGGAGGCGTGACCTGGGGGTCACGTGACCTTGGATGTCACATGAGGGTCACCTCAAGGTCACGTGACCCCCAAGGTGACCCCCACGTGACGTGGAGGGGTCAGTGACCTCAGAGGGGTCACGTGACCTGGGGGGTCACGTGGGGGTCACCTTGGGGTCACGTGACCTTCAGATGACCTTGGGAGGGGTCACGTGACCTCGGGGGTCACGTGACCTCAGAGGGGTCACGTGACTTGGGGGTCAAGTGACCTTCAAAGGGTCACGTGAGGTCATCTTGGGGTCACGTGACCTTGAGATGACCTTGGGAGGGGTCACGTGACCTCGAGGGGTCACGTGACCTTCAGGGGGTCACGTGGGGTCACGTGACCTTGAGATGACCTTGGGGGTCACGTGACCTTGGGATGACCTTGGTTACGCCGACGGCGACGCCGACGCCGCTCAAGCCGGGAACGGGCCCCTAAGAGCTGCGCTCTAAAATAATTTTCCTGTATTAAAATACGCAGGAACAACATAATACACAGATCTAACTAAGCTTTCGGCGTTTGCGTGACGCCGCCATAACATTTGTTAACAGGAGGTAGACGGCCGTCCATGCTAGGGCTTGTGCCGTCTTGTGTTCTACATGTGCAGAGCTCCAGCGAGGTTGTCGCCCCTGCAGAAAGACGAATGTTCTCTTAATGCATTTCAACAACGGTGACGAAGTCAAACTGGTTTGTGAGATCGGTCAATTGTGAGATATCAGTGGAGGTGGGCATGATTAAGGTATTGCAGCACACAGTGCCAAGTATGCTTATATTGGTAGGAAGGCCTTCAGTTCGACGATGCCCTATAGTGAACTTGGTGCGAGTTTAATGGATCGACCCTCTCGAAGCTTGGAAGATTTCAATGGGCCGAAATGGCGATTTCATGGCAACAGAGACGGATTAGCCAATCGCCTATTGAGGTTTTGGCTGTCTGTATGTCAATATTTCGTTGTGCTTGGCTAGTAGGCAGGGGAAGGCAATGTCGCTTCTTTTCCAGGATGCAGTAGATGCAGTGGATTTAGCGCACGTATATTCGAAGAACCTGGAGGGAAAGCTCGCGCTGTAGAACCCAGAACCCAAAGATTCTGGGTTCAATGGACCTTTTGGCGAATATGTGCTGCCATCTATGGGGCGATGGACGAACCTGAGGCGCACTGGGTTGGAGAGCATTTGTAGAGAAAACAACGTCCACGTTAGGCTTTTTGTGTGCTACCGGTTCGTTTTCTTTTTGCTGCTCTTAGTTTTATTTCGCTGCTCGCATTTATAAATGATAGAGCAAGGGAGCACGCAGCCTCGGTGAGAACCACAACAGCAGGACATTTGTCAGCTCATTGGCGGACCTGTGGATGCGATGCTGAGCTCACTAAAGTCCACTTTAGAGCTCACCAGCATAACCGTCTTTCATAGGAACAAGAACTCCTTCGCGCGTGAAGTGCTGGAGGCCCTGGCCATCGAAGAAAAAGGAGAAGATTGCGGTCTGCCACACCCCGTTGAATACTAGGCTAAAAGGTTTTAGAGCGCACCTCTCAGGGGCCCGTTCCCGGCTTGAGCGGCGTCGGCGTCGCCGTCGGCGTAACCAAGGTCATCCCAAGGTCACGTGACCCCCAAGGTCATCTCAAGGTCACGTGACCCCACGTGACCCCCTGAAGGTCACGTGACCCCCAAGGTCATCTCAAGGTCACGTGACCCCCAAGTCACGTGACCCCTCTGAGGTCACGTGGTCTCCTCCCCAAGGTCATCTCAAGGTCACGTGACCCCTGAGGTGACCCCCAAGGTCACGTGACCCCCTGAGGTCACGTGGGGGTCACCTTGGGGGTCACGTGACCTTGAGGTGACACCCAAGGTCACGTGACCCCCAGGTCACGCCTCCCCGAGGTCACGTGACCCCCCCTCCCCAAAGTCCCGTGACACCCCCCCCCCCCCGAGGTCACGTGACCCCCCCCCCCGGAGCATATTAAAGAATGAGGGGAGGAGGAGGAGAAGGAGGAGGGGTCTACCCTCCCCTCAGTACCCTTCACTCCTCCTCCTCAAGAGCTGCGCTCCAATTCGGCGTTACAGGGAGTTGTAAACGGCTTTCACTTTGTATAATTGTTTATTCTGCCGTTAGACGAAGAAAAAGAAAGAAAAAAAGGGCCTAGGCCGGGAAGAAGACAAAGTAAAATTGAGTTGATAGTCAGCGTTGTCTTTGTCCAGTTCTTTCCTTCGTGTCCTTGTTTTTTCGTGTTCAGCTGACCTGGGGGGCTATGTTGCGCTTTTCGCACTCCCAGGGGACTAGGGAGAGGGAAGTGACGTCAACGACACAGCAAACGCAGATTGGGTGTTGATTTCGTTTTCTTCTGTCAACATCCAATCTGCATTTGCTGTGTCATTGACGTCACTTCCCTCTTCCAAGTCTCCTGGGAGTGCAAAAAGCGCAACATAGCACCCCTGATTGCCAACAAAAGGTTCTCACCTTGGGTTGATGATCTGGAGGACCAGCGTTGAAACCGACCGAGGGCTGACGGCCGTGGAGGCGAGTAGCTAAACCGTGTAGGGACATAGTCCGGGTGTGCCTTGTCTAACGCCGGCTGTGATTATTGCCGCACTTCGCAAAGCTCTATCGCTTGCAAAAATTACAAGTCAACTTTTCTGTAATAAAATGGGCGCTACATAGCCTGGACAGCTGACTCGGCTTCCAGTTCTTCGAGGGGTCGGACTTGTCAACTCTCCTGATGGCACAAATCCAGGCTGCCCGCTTAACGGGATGAAGCTTAGCACACGGGAAGCGAAAAAAGCTAGTTCCACAACCCGGGCGATAATAGTTCCGACAGCCGAAGGCTACACAATTCACCGGCATGATTGCGGTGCACGTCGTAATCTAGAACGGGCGTCGTCAGTACGATGACTCGTCTTCACCTTGTTCGCAACATCAAAACTTGAGTCTCGATGGTCTCCATGGCGCGCAAAGGCGAGAAAAGCAAGATGGCGAATTGTTTAGAACTAGATACTCTCGAACCCAGGCGCATCAAATACTCCCAGCATGCGCAACGCGTATTTCTACAGAAGGTTCATTCCACCCCTGCCCGTTTCGATCTGGATGAGTATCATACCGGCGATCGGTCGTGTGTCATTACAGTATGGAGCACGTTAAAGACCCCAGGCTATCGGTCGTACCGCACTTACTAAATAGCTCAACTACAGCTGAAACACCAGAGGCCCACTGAAGCAGATCAACTTATGGTTGTATAAACATTCACACACCATTTTTAGGGGCGAAGATCCTTAAGGCCTAGCCATGTCCGTATGTCCGTCCGATGTCTGGCATTGGGTGCTCGTGCGCACGAGCACGTGAGCACGTGGTCCCGTGCTCGTGTAGGACAAAAAAAAAAGCAACCTCATCTCCACGTGGTGAATGACGCTGATTCGGGCAAAGCTCTGGTGGTGCTTGTCTCCGTAGACGGTGAGCCGCAGCATGCCGAGCCTTTCGTTTGTTTTCATCCATGACATAAAGAGAATGTGTGGTATGGAACGTGGTTACATACGCATTTGAGGATTTGACCACAGCGTGACATGAATGAAAACGAACGAAAGGCTCGGCATGCTGCGGCTCAGCGTCTACGCAGACAAGCACCACCAGAGCTTCGCCCCAATCAACAACATTCAACACGTGGAGATGCGGTTGTTTTTTTAATCATCATCTCACAGGGGTGCATTCGTGTATGTCTAAACTGTGTGATTAAACAGCCCATGCTACCAGTAGTACTGCACTGTCTAAACTTATCACCAAGAGAGGAGGCACGAGACGCACATTGGTGTGTACTAATTTTTTGCTGTCCGACGTAACAAGAAGCACAATTAGTTACGATATGTTTGATATCCCACTTTTAATATGGCAGTATGTTTTTTAGGGGCGAAGTTCCTTGGGGTCTAGCCTTGTCCATCCGTCCGGCGTCCGTGCTCACATCAATTGCCATCCTATCTGCCTGTCATGAATGAAACGTTTCATGTAGCCGCCCAACGTCTATACAGGAGAGGGCGCTGCGGTCAAATGCGTATATAATCGCGTTAAACTTTGCATGCATTGGCTCAACGTTTATAGACGAGAGGGCGCTGCGGTCAAATGCTCAAATGCCTATATAACCGCGTTCCATACCACACATTCTCTTTCTGACATGGACCGTTGACTTAAGCGATGGAGACGCATTCCCACGGCTCCTAGCGGATCCAAGCTGATCCGCTAGAGGAACCACTGGCTCTGCATTTCACTGACCATAAAGCAGTAATAATGAAGTCGAAAAGCAACCCGGCACTTAGGACTACATGTGAGCAATGAAAAAAACCAGCACCATGAGCACTACCTATGAACAATAAAATTAGTATCACCAGCACCACCAGAGTTTCGCCCCCAATAACATCATTCACCACGTGGAGATGCTGTGATTTTTATTTTTTTTCTTTGTGTTTCAGTACCCACAAAGGTTACCAACCTCCGTGTCCTGTTCCGAACTCCAAGCTCGGTGTCTTTGGCCTGGAACAGACCTCCTGCGGTGTTCGAAGGCTACAAGGTGATCTTCCGCACGAGCGGCACCAGAATAGGCACATGCCTCAACGGAACCACACTGGACCCGACACAGACGCAGATAACCTGCGAGAACCTCGAATCATGCACCACCTTAGACGTGACAGTTTTCACGCAGAAGTCGTCCTCGTCGTCTGAAATTTCAGCCGGAGTTACATTGAGCGACATCCAAGTGCCAGGAAAAGGTAGGGCTCCTTCAAGTGCTTCGTAAGGGGTGTAAAGAAAATGGGAGGGAGATGGAAGGACAGAGGTAAATTGCCACAGTCGCAATTGAACTAACACACGAAAACCACTATTGAGCAAGATTTTTAGCTAGTCTCTTTTCAGTAAATGCATGCTTGGACACAAGGTCCCAGGAATGATATCAGCAAAGTTTTCACGCAGCCGGTTGTAAGCTCACAAGTGTTTTTTCATGCACCCGGTGAAACGTATTCCCGCAACTTTCGCCTTATTAAACCTGAACATCTCCTGGGATATGATGTGTCTCCAAGAACTGTCCAAAGAAAAAAGAAAGACCTACGCTCAAGCGTGCTTAGACAACGCAGTCACGAAAATGTAAAACGGGAGCGTTTTGCAGAATCCAGTGTTTTGGGGTTTGACCAACAATTGGCCAAAAACTCGAAGTAGTACGCAGAAAGGACACAACAAATCAGGGCAACGGCCTTTGTGCTCCTCCTTGCCCCCGCAGCATCCCTCGACACCTCAAATTGTGACTGACAGTTTCGCAGGGTGTTGCGAGCTCTGCGCATCTTATTATAGTTCCTTAGCCAGTCGAGCTTGTTGTACTACCTGACAAGGACGCCGAAGAACAGATCAGAAAGCGAGACGCGACTAACTAATAAGCTGTCAAACTAATAATCTAGAGTCAGCGACAGCTTGAGCTCTCGCTGACTCTAGATTACAAACACCGCAGTCACGAAAACGTAAAACGGGAGCGTTTGGCAGAATCCAGTGCTTTGGGGTTTGACCGACAATTGTGCGAAAATCTCGAAGTAGTACGCAGAAAGAACACAAATCAGGGCAACGGCCTTTGTGCTCCTCCTTTCCCCCGCAATATCCCTCGACACCTCAAATTGTGACTGACAGTTTCGCAGGGTGTTGCGAGCTCTGCGCATCTTATTATAGTTCCTTAGCCAGTCGAGCTTGTTGTACTACCTGACAAGGACGCCGAAGAACAGATCAGAAAGCGAGACGCGACTAACTAATAAGCTGTCAAACTAATAATCTAGAGTCAGCGACAGCTTGAGCTTTCGCTGACTCTAGATTACAAGTGTGAACACTGAATTTCTTTACGTCTGCTGGGACGAGCGACACGCATTGACGAGCACTGTCGAGTGACCGCTCCCAGTCTAGATCAAAATTGTCATCACACAGGGCGCTCTCGGTGGCATCTTGCCTGTGCGCTCTTTGAAACCCATTCGCGGACCAGCGTTTGACTATGTCCTCTCAGGCTACGCTCTGGAGAGGCCAAACTAAATTCACCGGCTCACCTTTGGTTCCTATGTCACATAAAAGTATACTCAAATGCCTCGCCCCGCTTCATGCAAGGCACGGGAGCTCAAGTGACTCGCAGTTCCCCCTCGACGTAAGCCCTCATAATTTTTAACTAGTGTTCTATGTTTTGGAGGTTCCTTTTTCTTTCGTTTGGGAGTGATGTTTATTGTCGATTTTTAGTGTCGGACAAAGAAAAATTAAAAACGTGTAATGCGGAATTGGAGCGCAGCTTTGAGGAGGAGGAAGGGAGGGCACGGACGTCAGGGTACGCCCCTCCTCGCTCTCCGTACCCTCCTCTCCTTATCCCCTCCCATTTAGCGGAACATTTTCGCTAAATCTCCGCTCTAAATATAGCGAAAATTTTCCCGCTAAACTTAGAGGGAAAATTTTCACGCTAAATGTAGCAGGAGATATAGCGAAAATTTTCCCGCCAAGATTAGTGGGTTAAGTTTACCCGCTAAATTCAAAGGGGAAATTGACGTCACATGATATTAACACCAATTCAGTTTCCCCGCTAAATTTAGTGGCCAAAACTGCGACGTCTCTCAGTGCAACGCGCACGGTTACGCCGACGCCGACGCCGCTCAACGTGGAAATGGGCGCCTAAGAGCTGCGCTCTAAAAACTCAGGACTATTTTGGTTTACCGGGGCTTAATTCGGGCTTATACTAAAGTGCCTCAACCCTGAGAAAGTAGCGCCATTGCCTTGCCTGTCTCCTATTTGGGCACAAACAGGTACTAAAATACCGATGACAAAACCTCGTAAGCTGATTGGCTCATCTGCCTAGGTTGCCATGACAATTGCCATTTTGCTCCATTCACACCGTTGAAGTTTTGGAAGGGTCGTTCTGAACCAGTCGCACCAAGATCGCAGTGCAACATTATCGCACTGAAAGCGTTCCTCTTCAGTATAAGAGTTTTGGCACTGTACATGCAATCAACTTACCAATGATGTTTATCTCCACGAATCTCTTACAACGGCATTGTTGCTCTCGCGTATTTTAAGACGGGAATATTTTCTTTTTAACGCCGCCAACCGCAGATGCCGCATGTGATGGTGATGAGAAGGCAATCCCTTGTTTCGCCGTGTATGAATCGCAAAAGATCTGTATTCAAGAAATGACTTTATGAAGCGACCTGTGAAAGGAAATTTTTACTGGCTCGCCAAGAATAGAGGTGTCAAGGAGAAACTGCATGGCAGCTCCATGAACCGAAATGGCGGCCATGAGAGAGTTTTGAGCTACTTTCCCAGAAAGCAATGACTTTATAGTTAAGACATTCGCGACAGTTTCGTTCGCAAAGATAAAAAAAAAGCGACCAGAAGACCGGATGGACCGTTTAGGCCCGGTGACACACATGTGTCTGTAGCGACCGCAACGACTGGAACAGCCGAAACGACCCTTGCAAGAGTCTGCAACCGTCACTTGGCATAGCGGTAGAGGGACGCACCACACGTCGTCCATAATGATTAAAAAGCGCGATAGGACAATGGACACAGAAGGAGACACAGACACAGCGCAAGGAGCTGGAGCGACTGCAACTTTCTCTGCTGCGTTGGAAACAACCGCAACGACAAACAAGTCACAGGTCGAGGAGAACGGGTCGCGTGCGTTGCATGCCTTGTCATGAGCCGGCTCCTTCTATCTGCAAACATGACGTCGGTGGTGATCGTCGACGTGGACGGCGTGGTGAAAGCTCATCGTTCTGCGTGAAAGCGCTATCCTTGACTGTGAATTTTCGTCGTGTGTCTCTATGATAGCCCAGCACGCACCAGAAGGGAAGATCCACCTACTCGTACGGCGATGTCGTGGCGGCACTCTCAAGACAGCAGAAACACCCGTGCCGTCGTGTTTGTTTACTTCGCCTACAGTGGCGCTTTCTAAACATTTGTGTCCTCAAACGTTGCCCGGATTTCTTATTTGGAGCATTCCATGCGTGTGATCAAGCTCAAGGCATTACTAGCGCGTACCGTATAAAGGATGCACATTTTCACGCGTTTTCATCACCGGAGAAAAGTGTTTAGTGTTAGTAATCCTGAACGCTCGCAACGTCTATCTGATCACGAAATCATATTTCTACGTTGCTATATCACTGATGAGAATACATCGTCTTTTATAATCGTAGAAAAGGCGTGTGGCGAGATTTATACTATTGGTAAAGCCGTGTATTAGAGTCGTGATCGTCTAAGACGGCGTACTGCCTCCTTTTATGTTCTTTTTTTTCATCCACTGCACCCTGCAAGCTTATCATGAAAAAAAAAAAGCTTCAGGCTATAGAAAACTGTGTGTCTATATTCCGTTACGGCATTGAGTGGCAGTGCGTTCCCTTCTTTCTAGAGGTACCGCTGAAACAGCTGACGGTGGCGTAGAAGTGGTCGCCGTGCTGACGACCCGCTGCGTTTGTTGCAGAGGTTGCAGGTGTGTGTACGCGCGGCGGAGACCGGTCGTTCCGGTCGCTCCGTTTGCAACGGACGCATCGCGCTCGTCGCAGATGTCTGAACCAGCCTTGACTCCTAATGGCTTCGCGAAGCTACCTCTCGCATCACTACCCACGCTGCAAACGCCGAACACTTGGCCAGGATGCTTCATCGCTGCTGTCATCTAGTTTGCTACGAGCGACACCGACACAGGAATACGAACTAGCCCTTCATGTAGTACATACATCCTCCATAGAAGACGCGTATGAAGAAAACGAGGTCAGGTGTGTGGTTCGCGACAAAATATGCATTACTGCGCACACTTGATTGGGGGTAGCGTTCCGAGTCAATACCTAAAAATTTTTGCGTCAAGCTTTCGTTTTTTTTTATTCAAGTACAACTTGAACCCGGGCTTTTAGGGGTGAAGCTCCTTAAGGCCCTGTCACATTGAGGAAACACGGCGGAAACATCAACAAAACATGTTTCTCAACAGTCGGGAAACATGTCGGCTGTCGGCTCTGTTGCCCGAAAACCCTGTCACATTGAGGAAACAGCAACATAACATGGACGAAAGCGACAATGTTGTCTCGATGTGAGAGCTTTTGGCAACGGAAACCTCGGCAACTTGTGTCGGACGACACGTGTTGCCCATTTCGGTGGCTGAGCGAATTTTAGAGCGCAGCTCTTAGGGGCCCGTTCCCGGCTTGAGCGGCGTCGGCGTCGCCGTCGCCGTCGGCGTAACCACGCGGTGCATCATGGGAAATGTCCCATAATGCACCGCGCGAGTCCCCCACCGGGGTCACGTGATCTCGTGGGGGGTCACGTGACCCCCCCGAGGTCACGTGACCCCCCGAAGTCACGTGACTCCCCTGAGGTCACCTGACCCCCTCCTCGAGGTCACGTGACACCCCGAGGTCACGTGACCCCCGCCGATGTCGCGTGACCCCCCGATGACGTCATCGTCACTGATGACGTCACCGGCATCCACATCATCATCGTCATCATCACTGATGACGTCACCGGCATCCACATCGTCATCGTCGTCATCACTGATGACGTCACCGGCATCCGCATCGTCATCGTCATCATCACTGATGACGTCACCGGCATCCACATCGTCATCGTCATCATCACTGATGACGTCACCGGCATCCACATCGTCATCGTCATCATCACTGATGACGTCACCGGCATCCACATCGTCATCGTCATCATCACTGATGACGTCACCGGCATCCGCATCGTCATCGTCATCATCACTGATGACGTCACCGGC